CCCCAAAACCCCAAAACCCCAAAACCCCAAAACCCCAAAACCCCAAACATTGTACATAAGATAGAGTCCGACCAAATTAATAATAAATTAAATGAGATATACAAAATTAATATGTCTGCTTTTGTGCATGATCCTTGTGACTAATGCACTTCGTATAAAGAGTGCGGATAGAAATCTTTCTCGGATGCAGACGTCTGCTAGTGGGAGTAGACTGCAAAGTACCTTGCATGGGGGAATTCCATCCCGCTTGCAACAGGATGGTAAGTTATGGTTTATTTTTCATTCATATTTTTGGTGCAGGTGACTAAACTTGGGGCTAACAAAGCTCTTTGAGAATGATACTTTAAATGAATTAATATTATCCCTAAGACCTTCTGAATTAGTCTTTAGTATAAATATGATGTGTTAGGTACTTATACAATGTTAAATCTAACAAGTGTTCTTACCTATGCCACCAACTAGTTATTATCCCTCCCTTATCTAATGCTTTTTGTTGTGAAACAGAGAATCCTAACATTTTCCCAAAAAAATTTGGTGCATCCCAAAGATTAGAGTTACTTATATATCATTCCAAGTTAAAACTAAACACCAAGGTTCTATTTAAAATGATTTATAAGGAACACCACCTTTGCTTCGATAATTACATAAATTCCTAGATTAATATTTTCCTTGCACTTTGAAAAAGTGGATTTGCAAATCTAGTTATTTTCAGTACGGAATTAATACTTCAGTAGAAAGCATGCACCAAATTTGCAAAATGTATGTCTATAACACTTTATTTAGGCAATACTGAAGAACCTGAGGAAGAGAATGCAGACGAACTCGCTGCTGAAATCTTTGCTGATGAGGAAGAACCAACTGAACAACAAGATATTATTCAGAGCGATATCGAAGCACAACAAGAACAGGCTGAAGAGCAAGAAGAAGCTGAGGAGAACTCTGCAGAAGCAGCTGAAATTTCAAGTGAAGTCGCTGAAGCTGATGCTGAAGTAGAGGACGCTGATAATTCAGCTCAAGCTGCTCTCAACTTGGCTCAAGAATCTGGAAATGAAGACGCTATTAATGCCGCCAATGATGCTCAAGATGATGTTGAAGCTGCAGAAGAAGCAGAACAGAATGCTGAAGAATTAGCTGAAATTGCATCTCAAACAGGAGATGCTGATGATTTGGAAGCTGCTGAAGAAGCTCAAGATGATGCAGATGAAGCTGCTGAGGCTGCTACCGAATCTGCAGAAGAAGCTCAAGAACAAGCTGAAGAGGCTGTTGAAGAAGCTGCTGAAGAGGCAGAGGAAGAAGCTGAAGAAGAAGCTGAAGAAGAGCAACAAGAGGAAACTGATGAAGCTAATCAAGAAGTTAGCGAATCCCAAGATGAGCTGGCAGAAGTTCAAGGAGAAGAAGAAAGTGCTCAAGAAGAAGTAGCTGCCTCTGAAGAGGCAATTGATGAGGCTGAAGATGATGTACAAGAGAATGAGGAAGCTTTGGAAGATGCTGAAGATCAACTACAACAAGCTGAAAATGAAGGAGATCAAGAATCTATTGAAAATGCTCAAGATGCTATTGATCAAGCTGAAGACAATTTGGAAGAAACAGTTGATAATCTCAATGAAGCAGAAGAGAATGTTGAAGAAGCTCAAACTGAATTAGATGAGGTTGAAGAAGATGTTGAAGTACAAGAAGCTGGAGCAGATTCTGCTGAGGAGGTTTTGGATGATGTTGAAGGTGGAGAAGATATAGCAACTGCTGAAGCCGAAGTCGAAGCAGAAGTCGAAGCCGAAGCCGAAGCTGATGCTGGAGAAGAGACTGCTCCATCAGAAGATGATGAAATTAACGAAATAATCGCTGAAGCTGAAGAAGCACAAGAAGAAGCTGAAGCTGCTTCTACAGAAGCTGACGCTGAAACTCAAGAAATGATTGAGGAAGCTGAAGCAGAAACTGAGGAAGCTGAAAATGAAGCTGAGGCAGCTGAAGACCAAGCTGAAGCTGAAGAAGAAATTCAAGAGGATATTGAAGAAGCTGAGGCAGATGTTGCTGAAGCTGAGGATAATGCTGCCGAGGCTGAAGATGCCATAGATGCTGCTGAAGAGGCTGCTGATAACGCAGAAGCTGAAGTTACCGAAGATCAAGCAGCAGTTGAGGAAGCTGAAGAAGTTCTTGAGGAAGCTACTGCTGAAGGAGATGAAGAGGCTATTGAGGATGCCCAAGATGCTGTTGAAGAAGCAACTGATGAGCTTGGAGACTCAACCGAAGATCTCGCTGATGCTCAAGAAGAAGAAGCTGATGCTCAAGCAGATCTTGACGAAGCTGAGGCTGAAGTTAATGAAGAACAAACTGAACTAGACATTGAAGAACAAACTGAAGAAGCTATTGAAGATGGAGTAGCTCCAGAAGAAGCTGAAGAGCAAGCTGAAGAAGCTTTGGCTGATGATGGAGTTGAAGAAGTCGAAGATGGTGAAGAGCCAGTCCCAGCTGAAGAAGTAATTATACCAGAAGATGACGGAGTTGAAGAAGTCGTAGGTGGAGAAGAACCTACTCCAGTTGAAGAGGCTCCAGTTGAAGATGACAATATTGAAGAGGTTACTCCTGAAGAAGTTGCCTCAGAGGAAGCTGCTCCAGTAGTTCTCCCAGAAGCTGCTTCTGATGCTGCTCAAGAAGCTGTTCCAGTGGTTGTCCCAGGAGTTGCTCCAGTCGCCCCTGAAGCTGCCCCTGAAGCTGCCCCGGAAGCTGCCCCGGAAGCTGCCCCGGAAGCTGCCCCGGAAGCTGTCCCGGAAGCTGCCCCGGAAGCTGCCCCGGAAGCTGCCCCAGAAGCTGCCCCAGAAGAACTTCCAGAAACTGACGACAACACAGATGTTAATGAAGTTACAGATGACAACGAAGTTGTTGTTGAAATTCCAACTGAAGGATCTCCATTTACCACCCAAGAAGAATTCGACGATCTTGAAAGTCAATTTGAAGGAATGGATGACCGTGTTGGCAGTCTCGAGGACCAAATGGCTGAAATGGATATGTCTAGTGCTAGTGAGACTCAAGACTCTATTGAAGACTTAGAGTAAGTTTAGGATATACTAACTTCTTTATAGACAAGAACTTGACGCTGTCGAAGCCCAAGTTGATGAAACCAATGATGTAATGAATGATGTTGCCACTCAACAAGAAGAAATCGAAGAAGCTCAAGCTGAAGTTCAAGAAACTCAATCTGAAATTGAGGAAACCCAAGAAGAAGTTGTTGAAGACCAACAAGAAATTAATGAAGGTCAGAATGAAGTTCAAGATGCTCAAGAAGAAATTGAGGAAACTCAAGATGATGTTGCTGAAGACCAAGCTGAGGTTGAAGTTACTGCTGAAGAAGTTCAAGGAGAAGCTGCTGACGTTGATGCTTCTGTTGAAGATGCTGAAGCCGCAGCTGAAGATGCTAGTGAATCAATAGATGAAGCTGAAGATGCTGCTGATGAAGCTGTAGAAGAAGTTGATGAGGCTGCTGATGTAGCTGAAGAAGAAGTCAATGAGGAGACTGAAGAAGCAGTTGAAGAAACACCTGAAGAAGAGCCAGAAACCATAGATAATTTGGCTCCAGTTAATGAAGATGGAAATCCAATTCTTGATGCAGATACCCTAGAAGATAACTTAGAGGAAGTAGAAAATGTCGAAGATGCCATAAATGAACAGATTGCTCAATTATCAGGAGCTCCATTGGATAATGCAGTTGCTGATGCTGCTGCTGCTCCAGTCGATGCTGCTGCCACTCCAGTTGATGCTGCTGCCGCTCCAGTTGATGCTGCTGCCGCTCCAGTTGATGCTGCTGCCGCTCCAGTTGCTCCAGCCGATGCTACAGTTGACGCTCAAGCAAATGCCTCAGTTGAAGCACCAGTCAATGTTGCTGTTAATGGTCCAGCTATCGCTGCTGCAAATGCTGCTCCAAATGCTGTTGTCAACGGTGCTGCATCAGAAGAAATTCCAGTCTCTGAATAAGCAGATTAAATTTGGGCCTGTTTCCAAATTAGAATTGACTAATTTTAATAAAACCAATATTAAATTTTTACCTTGGGGTTTTGGGGTTTTGGGGTTTTGGGGTTTTGGGGTTTTGGGGTTTTGGGGTTTTGGGG